AATTACACTGAATTGAGCTTCGCCATGCACGATTCGGTCGATTTTGTTTAGGTCTGGAAAGTCAATTTTGAAAAATTCCCCAACTTCAACAGGATTTTTAAATTTCTTGAAACTTTCACTGTTTATTACGCTCAGTGTTGTGCATTCATGTTGTGAGCTTGAATTAGCTGAGAGTTCAACTCGCAAAATTACACTGAATTGAGCTTCGCCATGCACGATTCGGTCGATTTTGTTTAGGACTGGAAAGTCAATTTTGAAAAATTCCCCAACTTCAACAGGATCTTAAAATTTCTTGAAACTTTCACGGTTTATTACGCTCAGTGTTGTACATTCATGTTGTGAGCTTGAATTAGCTGAGAGTTCAACTCGCAAAATTACACTGAATTGAGCTTCGCCATGCACGATTCGGTCGATTTTGTTGAGGTCTGGAAAGTCAATTTTGAAAAATTCCCCAACTTCAACACGATTTTGAAATTTCTTGAAACTTTCACGGTTTATTACGCTCAGTGTTGTGCATTGATGTAGTGAGCTTGAATTAGCTGAGAGTTCAACTCGCAAAATTACACTGAATTGAACATCGCCATGCACGATTCGGTCGATTTTTTTTACGTCTGAAAAGTCAATTTTGAAAAATTCCACATCTTCAACAGGATTTTGAAATTTCTTCAAACTTTCACTGTTTATTACGCTCAGTGTTGTGCATTCATGTGGTGAGTTTGAAGTAGCTGACAGTTTAACTCGCAAAATTACACTGAATTGAGCTTCGCCATGCACCATTCGGTCGATTTTTTTTACGTCTGAAAAGTCAATTTTGAAAAATTCCCCAACTTCAACAGGATTTTGAAATTTCTTGAAACTTTCACGGTTTATTACGCTCAGCGTTGTGCATTGATGTGGTGAGTTTGAATTAGCTGAGAGTTCAACTCGCAAAAKTACCTGAAAGATTTCTGCACAACTTTAWGGGGCGGACCATCCTCCACCGGTTTTCCTGCGGAACTTAGTCTCAGTTACCCTTAGCCCTGCTTAGGTAAGCGSAAGGGTGGCATTGACCTTGTTTTCGCATCGGTAAAATATCGCTCACTTGTGGAATTTTCGGCTRAAAAYCGCAGSTTTTTTWTCTAGTTTTCCACAGAGAMCAGCGTTTACATGCACGAATAAAGTGTTTGGGCAAAATTGGGCYCGTTTTCCCGAAGAGCGTTGGAAAGTGAAAGTTTTTTTCAAATAAATCCGGCTGTAGTTTCGCTGTTTTAAGGAACTKCCGCTATCTGAAACGTTWTCTGMWMATTGTCTGTTTTCGAAGGGTTTYAAAACCCSGAATTTTCCGGGATAAATCCMGCTGTAGTTAAAGCRCCTTGAGAAACTTCCAACATCCCGAAACAGCATTCGAAAGCTCGAGATTGTGACTTTCTTTGGTTTTTTGAAATTTCAAAATCCGCSCATTATTGGGCTTGTGACGCCGGAAAGAGTGTGGAGAGTTTCCAGAAAGTCACCAGCTTCCAGCCATTTTTAAGCAGCTTCCAGTACAGCTTCCAGCCAGTTTTAAGCAGCTTCCAGTATAGGAATTCTGCTTCCGAAATCTCAAGACTGTCACTTTACAGTTTTTRARACTGTAGAGGAAAACATCCGCATTTTTCGACGTTTGTAAATCGGCCAATAGTTGGTCTCGTGCCGACGTGAAGASTGCAGAGGGTGAAAAAACCCGGACTWTTCCGGTCTAATTCCGGCTGGCGCTTCTGATCTGAGCCCAGTGAGGGCCGGAAGCGGCCCTGCAGCTGAGCCTCAACACATCTGGAGTGAGGAAGGTGCAGTGGCAGCATCAGAGCCGGCGCTGGCTATCGACCCGCCAGAGATAACTTGCATGCTGTCGCTGATTCTGTGCTAGAATTGCCGCATTGCCAACGTTCCTTCCTCCCCGGAAAAGCTGGGAAAATGCCCGAAAAGCACTCCGGTCCTCAGTTAAGCCTGCTCCTTCACACCTGTTCAGCAGCAGTAGCTTCACCGGGCCTAGAATGCTTTGCAAAGGAAAACTCCCACAGCTCTGCACGCTTATGGCAGGATTGAACAACCCCAGGCCAAAAGGGGATGAAGTGAACGTGGCAACCTAGGCAAAGTCCATCGTTTTTATCAGGCCGTGCTGTTGGAGAACAGTCGACCCTTTGCGGCTTCCCGAAGTTGCACGCAAAGCGATCCCGAAGGAATCGATAGCCGTGTTCTAGTCACGTATCATGGGTTATAGTCACGGATTGGTGCGGATCGTGCATTTTTTCTCCTAGTTCTAACGAGGTTGTTGCATCCACTGTTCTTCGCGATCAAAAAAATCCGCACCCATTCACTCGTGGGGGCGCAAATTGAGGGCTGATTTGGGTTTGGCCCTCCTTCATTCCTCAAACTAACTGCGGCTGGAAAGCTCATCTAGCAGCCGAAGGCATCGTGATGCATAGATAAACTCGCCTCGGAATGCTTGCAATCTCGAGCCTGATGAATGTATGCATGAAGATTGCACTGTTTTGAAAACAAGGCCCGTCTGGCAATCTGCAATAATCAAGCGAGTGGTGGTGGCTCCATTCATCCAGTCGATGCACCAATCTAGTTGCAGATTTCGCGCTGAAATGGCATTGATCAAACGCTTCTGCTGAACGGATTCACGTGCTCATTCTCGCGCCCTTAAAATGAAACGACGCAAAGGATTGATGAATGCCGGCGAATGAAGCTGGGGTGAAATGGCGCGGAAAAAATCCAGGCTTTAAAGACGAAAGTGGTGATAATGCACAGTGGTGATGCCCAATCGTGCTGCAGGCTCTTCGACGGGGCACCAACAAATCGCGCTGCTCTGGAAGACCAGACAGAAGCTGCTCAAATGGCTCCGATCTTACAATCAGGTGGGTGGACGAAGACGAATTGTCCGCAAGCAAAGTCAGGTCACGTTACAGGGCCGGGGAAGATAAATAGCGTCTGCACCAATCCCCAATTTTTATTCTGGTCGGGTCTGATTGAGTTTGACTAGAGGAAAACGTTCAGAGTGGCAATTGTGCAATGGAGCCCAATGGGTTAGAAGGTCGATGGTTGCTGGCTGAGAAGTGCCATCGATGTTCTGACTTGAATTGAGCATGGACGGTTTTGAAGCGCGCTGTTGACGTTTTTTGAAACTTTCGCAGTTTTTTGGCTCAGTCTTGTTCGATCAGTTGAAAACTTTCAGCCGGACAAGAGTTAAACACCTAAATTTACAGTCAATTGGACTGGATTTTGTTTACGTCTGCAAAGTCAACTTTGGGAAATTCCCCAACTTCAACAGGATTTTGAAATTTTTTCCGACTTTCACGGTTTATTACGCTCAGCGTTGTGCATTGATGTGGTGAGTTTGAATTAGCTGAGAGTTCAACTCGCAAAGTTACACTGAATTGAGCTTCGCCATGCACGATTCGGTCGATTTTGTTTAGGTCTGGAAAGTCAATTTTGAAAAATTCCCCAACTTCAACGGGATCTTCAAATTTCTTGAAACTTTCACGGTTCATTGCGCTCAGTGTTGTGCATTCATGTGGTGAGTTTGAATTAGCTGAGA